CATTAAATGGTGAGAAAACTAAATTTATCTTGTTCCACAAACCTCATAGGGGAGATAACCTTTCTCTAAAATTACCCAATCTCTTTATGAATAAAACAATTATTAAAAGAGAGTCAACTGTTAACTTTCTAGGAGTGATTATAGATGAAAATTTATCATGGAAGTATCATATTAAATCTATTGAAATCAAATTTCTTATATCTTAACATCATTGCAGCTTTCTAGTCTTCATTTTTGTTTATGTGTATTTCATCTGTGTTGCTAATGATATTGCTAGTTTTTATGATTTTATGTTTCAGGCAAAAAAAAAGCTTTGACTAATACTTTTTTCTAGTTCAAATGAATAACAACTCTTAAGGTGTATTAGCTGAATTATCTTTTTGTTTTGATAGTCTTTGGTCAATAACGGATTTTTAAACTGTCACGAGCCTACAACACTTAATTTCAGCAAAATTCAATTAAAAAATCATGTTAAAGAAGACAGAAAAATATCAATATCTGTTTTCAATAACTTGGCTTTCATAGAAAATCTGACAGGTGCAAATTTTTAGGTTGATTAAAGTACTACATAATAAAATACATCGTTGTACAGCCATTTTGATGGTTGTAAATATATTTGGCACACTCATTTCTATATATTTTTAGACTATTTTCCGTTTAATTTCTGTCCCAATCTAACCTAGTGGGTTCAAAAAGAAGGGATCGCGCTTGAAGCATGAGTTAATTGAAAGCATCAGCCCTTTTTGAATTAAAAGACGGGAAGTTTAATGTGCTCCACTCATCTAATCAAGTTTCGTTTGCTTTTTTTGTATTACATTTAAGTAATAGACTGTTTTTTATGTTCACTCGTTTTTTATAAGTGGTAACCAGCTAGAATTCGCAACTTGCTCGCATGAAAGGATTTCTCGACGTGAAATTGTTAAATTTATTCATCATCGCCAAGAAACAGAGCTCGCTCAAGAAACAGAAAACAAAGAGAAAGATGAAAAAATATTCTGTTGAACAATACTATTATTTTATTTATAAATTATTCTCCTATATTTAAACAAATAAAAGATGCAGAAAATGCTTCCTCATTTTTATTGACATTTATAAGAGGTTTTTTTTCTCGGCATCGGAAAAAGCTTTTTGTCATACTTTATATGAAGAACTATAATCATTTTCCTTTGAAAAAAATAGCTTTTCATATAATAAAAGTAGGAATACTATAGTGTATAGAATACTATAGTATACTAATAAGTATGGCAAAAAAGTCGTTCCGACCCCGAGAAAAAACACTTTTTTAGATTTGCATATTTGACTAGAAAAAATGTCTTATATACGCGTTTTTTATGTCTTTTCATGACATGATTAAGATCAAAAAAGACGTCTTTTCAATGTCGAAAAAAGATGTCTTTTAGATTTGCATAATCGATTAAAAATGACGTCTAAAAGACATCGTAAATAAAACTTTTAAAGACGTCTTTTTTCCCATTGGGATTGGCATTTTATATAAAACCAGACAAATATTAGGCTAATCTACACTAACTCAACTATATTTTGCATTCATAAATAGTTATGTATATTATGGCAATATTGTTTGGGGTAGTACAAATTAATCTAAACTCGACTGTCTCCTTAAACAACAGAATGCAGTACGCATTGTTCACTGTTATAAATAATGGAATGTACTTGTATTTAATATTTTTAAATATTTAATCGGAAATTACTTTTAATTGTAAATTGTCGCTTGACAAAAATAAATAAATAATTAAAAAAATATAAAAAAATAATCAATAACAAGGTTAACTAAATTATCAAAAGTCTCATTTAATCTTCCTTAGCTCAAATAATTTATTAAAAACCCCTCAAATTTTTTTTTTATCAATAAAGTTATTTTAACAAAAAACCAAGTATATTCTGAGAAATAACTATATAACAGAATTTTAAATAATGCAAAATAAATTTTTTAGTTGCCATGGTTACAGAGTAAAATGGCAGACATTCAAAAATGTTTAGGCCAGCCCGGCCATTCTATCTCGGTAACCAAAAACATATGAGATAAGATTTTAAGGCATATGATTAACAACATAGTAATCTGCAAAGTATACTAAAATTGTTCTAAAAAACAAAGTATTTATTAGAGTTTTAAGTACTTTATATTATATTATACAGAATTTTTGAAATAACGTATTTAAAAAAAATGCAGTTTTGTGAACAAATTCTTTTATAAATTAACAGTATTGTAAAACTTTTAGTTCCAATTGTACAACTAGATGCAATAAACGTATGGTGAAAATTTTATGCAAATTGTTAGAGACAGAATTATTTATTTCAGTGATTTTTAGTCATAGGGTACATTAAAAGTATGTTTTTTTCTAATCCTGAAAAACCTTGACCACATGCACGCGTTGAGTAAACTATTCTTTTATTTACATCAAAAGTTTTTTTCCCAGAACATGTCTATAAAGCATAAAATTGAATCTTTTCATTACAGTTAGTGCACATTGAGCTGAATCCTTTCTTTTTTTTTTCGGAAAACATTCTGAAAAATTTATTTTTGATTGTGAAAATTTTTTTTAAACATAGTTGTATAATTACATTTCAGTATCAACAATTCGAAAACTTACAGTTTTGTTTTTATTAGGCTGAGTTGTCTAAATTATCTCAATTTTTTTTTGAAGATATAGATAAATTTGAAGAAGTGTTACAATAAATATCGTCATTTTCATAACTTATTTTTCGGATTTTTTACTTTGATTACCTAGTTTGATTTTATATGATTTATCTATTGTTAAAAAAGTTCATGAAACAACAAAAAACATAAAAAAAACAGCTTGCAATTCTGATTAAAAACCTGTTACTATGCGTGATGTTAGACAGATTAAATTAACCCAGTCGAAAGAATTGATTTATTCTCAAGAACAAAATCTTACTTTAAAAACTCGAGTTCAGCGATAAATTTTGTTATGATTTTTCTCACAGCTCCTTATAAAACCACTATAATAAACGTAAACAAGTTCATCGCTTGGACAGCCGTTTAAAGCATCATCTAACCAGTAATCGTATATCTTGCAATCACCCAAACTAGAATAGATACCCATTACAGCTTTTATAGGTCTAATCTGACAAAGATATTCTATCAGTATATTACCTATTTTGAAATGCAATAGTGCTACATTTTATGATTACAATTAAATACTATAGACTATTAACATATACTAAAAAAACACCATAAAACTTTTAAAAAGATTAAAACTAAACAATTTATTTTCAGTTATATATTATAAATAGTTCTATTTTTATATTTAATTGATGTGCCATTACATGCTAATTAATTGATTTCTGTGCCATTAGATGCTACGTACCTTTAAAATCTTCAATCAGGCAACTTAATTTTGTATTTGTTACCACTATAGATATACATGAAGCATATTTACATATTATAGACATATTTGATTTTAGAAATTAAAATAATTATAAGATAATTATTTTAATGATAATTATTTTATCGAAAGGAATTATTGTGACTAGAAAGAGGTAGGGTTGAGGAAGAAGTCTCTTTTAATCTGCATTTTGATGATTACTGGTGCATGTCATAAACCCATTTATACATCTTGCTATTATATTATAAATTTATATAAAATAGAAAAAAAAAAAATTTTTTAATTTAAAAATTAGTTAGCATGCATAAATTATATAGCATTAATAAAAGAAAATATTATTATTAATTTTTTCTTTCAATAATTAAATTAAATATTAAATACCTTTCTCTAAACTTTCAATGAACTTTTTAATATGCAATTTTTTGTGAGTGCTTTTTAAATGTTATTCAACTCATTAAGTTTAAAAATCCCACACTTTGTAATATGGGCTACATAAAAAGGTCCTTTAAATCTTGGCTTGAATGCAGCCCCTTTGCTTCTTCTTCCTCTTATGTCCAGAAGTAAAACCTTATCTCCTACCATAATTGGGTCAGCAGATACTTTACAATTTTTTTGGACTCTAGCATTATAATATTTTTTTTGTTTTGCTTGAGCATCTTTGATGTTCTAAAATCAATTGAGTGTTGGTACACAACTATAATTTTCTAAAGACAATGTGTACAACTTTTGGTCAGTCATTATCTTAACTAAGTAACTCAACTTTAACTTACCTTAGAAATTAGATTTGTTAAATTTTCAACGTGGCTCTTATTTTTTTCAACTTCAACTATAACTTCTTCCTCTGTCGGGCCTAAAACAATAATTTCCTTTAAATATTATGCAATTCCCTTAATAAATGCACTTGTAATTAATAAAATAAACATTTTTTTTTTAAATTTTACATAATGTATTTACTTCTTTTAATTCACAACTAAAAACTTGTAAGCGACCCCTAAACATAATCTCAAATGGTGAAACTTTTGTAGAGGGTTGTCTTTCAACTCGTAGTGGATACAAGACTACATCAAGAAATTTATCCCAATTGGACTGATTTTCATCAATTTGTTTTCTTATTTTTCTAATAAAAATCTATGAAGTAAAGTAACAAAATAACTTTGCTACAAATAGATTCTAACAAAATTTAATTTAATTGTTTTTATATAACCAGTCTAGAATTTAAAAATACACAAAATAAGGCTGAATGCCTTTTTATATTTTTGTTTGTGTTTTCATCTTGGCCGTTTGTTTGGGGATGATAGACAGCCGTCTTTCTTCGCTCTATTCCTAACAACCTATACATTTCGTTGTTTAACTAGAAAGAATGTAAAATTTTAGTAACCTCATCAAAATATTTTTGTTTTAAATTAATGTTTTAAAAGTCTTTACCTCCTTACAAAACTCTGAACCATTGTCAGAAAGTATTACAGATGGATACCCAAATGTAGTTACTAACTTAATTATTGACTTGGCTACCGTTAAAGCCTCCTTATTTGGCAATGCATAAGCAACAGGCCACTTTAAAATTAAATCAGAGCAGCCCATAAAATATCTATTTTATAATAGATGTTTCTGTAAATGGGCAAGCAAAATCTATCCCAAAAATTTCCCATACTCGCGTAGTCTAAAAAAATATCTCAAATATTACTACTGTATTTGGTCAATTTTATATCTACAATTGTTATTAAATTAATTGTTTGACAAATTTCTATATTTATAAAGTAGTGTAAAAAATAATAATTAACTATTATATATTTTTTACACAATTTCATTATACCTTTATTGAATGTAAAGGCTCTGAAACAGAAATCAGCTGACCAGATGTTTGACAACGCTTGCATTGTTTTACCTGTGAGATAAGTATTTGTTAGAATTACTAAAAAACCTTTAGTTAAAATATGTGATAAAAAACATATGTAGTATAGATAAATATGCTCTGTTGTCTTTGCTGTATATCTTGGTAGACATTAGGCCTTTAAAGGAGTTAAAACAGTCAAGTTATTATGAATAATTTAAAGAAAAAGTATTTAAAACGGTCAAAGATTTACAAAACAAAACGGAATCATTAAAAATAAAGAATTATATAGAGAGAGTAAAAATGTTAAAGGTTAACTTCCCTTTTGAAAAGAAAGCAATTTACCCATTTTATAATATCTCCGCTGATATTAGGCCAATAATACTTTTCCATAATTTTGACTTTTATTTTTATTTGGCCTCTATGTCCACCTAAAGGACTGTCATGTTCCGATGTTAAAATTTTTAGTCTTTTCTCCGTGTCCGTAATAACATCTGCATAAACAGAATTCCCACATACAGTTACTTTTCGCTTGAGCTTACCATCTACAAAAAATTTACAACTTGAAAAACAGTATCAGTGAAAAAATGTAAAACAAGAATATTTTTAACCATCATACCTTGTACACAATACTTTTTTGCCACACTTCGAAACGTTCGTTTATCATTTTTTCCAAGACCAAGTGGATAAATATTTTTGGTCAAATATTTAATAAAATTATAAAAGTATTGTGGTTGTTTTTCTTCCTTTTCCAATACAGGCTGAAAAAAAACTAAAAATATGTATTGTTACATTTTATTAAATAACTTTCAAAATACGAACTTTGACGAACAAACCGGCTGCGCGGAGAAACATGTTGAACGCGGTACTACCAGGGACATGGTGGGGATCAAACTCGGAACCTCTCGCTTATGAAGCGAGTGATTTACCACTACACCACTACTGCATGATATATAATATATAATACCATATAATATATAATAACACTTCTTACATATAACTTAATAAAATATCAGTTCTATATTATTTGTATTATTTGAACATCATTAAACTTTTTTTAATTTTCATAAGGAATTTAGAAATGTATTGAAGTATCAATGTAGAAAACTACGTATTCAAAATATGAAAATTCTACACAATTTGCCTTTTGGTTATTTTAATATTTCTAACTATTATTATTTTTGCTAAATGCTATAACTTAAAATCATGATAGCGTTCTTATAAGGGACGCGATAATCTTTTACAGACAACAACATAAATAATGCAATTATTACTTTTGAACTAATTTTACATAATACTTAATTATTATTTGAATTGAGATTAACCTAGGCGATTTATGATGATTCTTTATTGGAACTGTTTTCATTTTCACTAAAATCAGCACTACCATTCAAAAGTTCCTATGTTAATAAATAATTATTGAGTCATAACAAAAGAAACAATTAATAAGGTCATATCATCATTAATGCGTTTAAAAAAAATCAATATAAAGATGCGAAACCTTGCTTCCTGCAACCAGATTTTAATTTAAAAATAAAAAAAACATACAATTATGGCAATAATAATTTGTTACATTTTATAAAAAAAAAAATCAACAGGCAGTAAGAGGAACCACTGTCAAGTGAATTTCGCATTTATGGAACTAATTTTAATTAGTTAAATAATTTTCTATAGCCCGATGGGGTTCAACTTATTGAGAACATATTGTACTGTCTAGACACAGCAAACAAATAATCATTACCGGCAGAAAAAGCATCATCCTTCATCAGGCAATTTATTCACTAACTCATTAGTCCTGAAATGAAATCAATCATTCAATCAATATATTTGATTACCAATAGTAAACTACAAAATAAGCGATAAAAAATATTGATTGATACCAAATTTAGTCTTAAACTTTCTAAAATTACACATTTCACCAGTTAATCTTGAGAGTCATAAGCAAACCTTTGTGAAGAATAAGAGCTTAACAATACTTCAGCCTAGTAAAACATGATGTCATTATATATATATGTACATATATATGTAATGACATCTTTATATATATATGTACATGTCATTATATATATATATATATATATATATATATATATATATATATATATATATATATATATATATATATATATATATATATATATATATATATATATATATATATATATATATATATATATATATATATATATATAATATATATATATATATATATATATAAATATAATGACATTTGCCTAACTATGTGTATAATAAATGATTATTTCTAAAAAATATTTAAAATAAATTATTATCATGTTATATTAC